TATATATATATATATATATATATATATATATATATATATATATATATATATATACCATATCTAATCCATGAGGACGAGTGTGCCAGCATCCATGCTTATGGGCCTCTCCAGTTTCTCAATCTGTTCTACTGAATTAATAGACCTCCCTATGCCACCATGCATGCAAATGATTTTTTTCTCTATCAACGCAGCAAGGGGAAGGTAATTAAACAGCTGATTAAAACGCGTCCAAGCCCAGATCCCATCACTTTCTCCCTGCATGTGTATCAAATCAACCATCAGTAAATATACAAGCAATATATATATATATATATATATATATATATATATATATATATATATATATATATATATATATACATATGTTTATATTTTGCACATATGAGAAAACCTACCATTCTTTCAATACATTCTATGCGAAAACCAAAAAGTGCATTGATGTCAGCAGCTTCATGGTTGCCACGAATTAGATGAACATTATCAGGGTACTCGATCTGTGGTCCATAAAAAGTAACAGTTAGGGTGAAGGACTTCAATGCAATAACAATTAAGCACTCAAGCTAGTTAATGCAGAAGCTTGCCTTAAGAGCAAGGAGCAAAGTTATGGTTTCCAAGCTGTGCTGACCACGATCAACATAGTCTCCCAGAAATAAATAGTCAATATAACTGAAACAGAAGGAAAATAGAACATAAACTCCACAGGGTAAAAATCATAAGTTTACGGTATTAACTCTCGGCAGATTCTGACTCTTCAATTTTTTTGTCTTCACAGGGTAACAAAAGAATCTAATTTCAACATTCAGATAATTAATCATAACAAACATGAATTTTGCAAACAAAATAGAATAATGCCAATTGAACATTCAATATATTGACTACGGAAATCTGTACAACTCACGTAATGTCACCAGCAGTAGAAGGAAAACCATATTCATCAAACAGCCTCATCAGATCACCAAACTGTCCATGAAGATCACCAAACACTTTGATAGGAGCTTTCAACTGAAGAACAGTGGATTCATGCATGAAAATCTGCTCAGCAGCATAACAAAGCTCACCAACTTCGTAAGAGTCCAGAAAGAACTTTCTGTTGACAGGTGGCTTCCAATTCCGAGGCCTCAGTAAAGTTGATATAATCTGTAGCACATAAATCATAATCAAATATCCTCTTTTGAGCACTGAGCTGAAAAATTTAGAAAAAAGGTAATCTAGTAAAACTTGCCTTTTTATGCAAGCCTTGAGGAGATCTCTGCCTTGCAAACTTTTTAGTAGGATTCGAAAGGTCATTATGCGATGGAATCATTCGTCTGCTCTCATTTTCAAATTGATCCAAGGATAACTGTCTGACCATACCTCCCAAGTTCCCAACAGTTTCTTTTGCAACTACAACCTGCAATATGACAAAAAAATAAGCTTTCTTCACTCAAAAGTAAAATGCAGTATCTTATCTTATAGATAAAAGAAAGAAACGCTAGTGCAACCTAAGCAACCCTAATGGCATTTTCATAACTATTATTTTTTTAATTTTATTTTTGCTACTAATTTTCTAATTATAAACAAGTTCAAATTCAAACCAAACCGTGTAGAATCCTTTCAACATCAATCTCTTATTTTCAACAATACATCTCTAATTATATTTTATACAATTTCTTTGTGTAAAACGAACAAGGAGTAAAAGATCATACTGCTCTTGGGTGAAGTCGAACATCAGCCTCTGTATCGCTACCCTCAGAAGTTGTTTCTGCAGATTGTGAATTGCCATCTGATAGAGATGTTTCTTCAGGTGAAGCTGATGCTGCCTGTGCTGATTGCCACACGGCATTAGCAACCTTAGCTTCAGCGGCAGATGCTTCTGCTAGTTTCTCCATGGAGTCTTTGTCCATACTATAGGAACACAATATTAAAAACTTATGTTATTATTGCAGTCACATCACATAAACCATACAAAGAAGTACCGTAAAGAATTTAAAATCAGACCCCAGAAATCCAGATGCGGGTGTTTCAGATCTGTCGTCTGGAGTTGATGTGGAGGAAAATGGAGATAAATTAGGGCTGTTCGATCTAGGGCTACCACTCATCAAGGCTGATGGGTTGACGTCAGTTTGAAATTGAGAGTTTTCCGCAACTAGAAAATCGTCTAACAGAATATCTGCAGCACAAAAAGCTAAATTTATTACAGCAGTTGACAAAGAAAGGAAGTAGGGGACATATAGACAGGAATCTCTATGCACTCTGTAAGCTGTTTGGATACAGATTCATATTTTTTTTGCAAAGCACAGGGAGGACTTGATCAAAAGAAAAACACGAGAACATTTTCACCGTTCCCAGTTTTGTTAATGAAAATCATATTTTTTATGTTCGCAAATGAACGATATTACTTCAGTAAGTTTGACAATTTTGCCTTAAAGTTGGCCACACTAGTTAGTACTCATTTTACTTTAAAGTACACATTTTGATTATCATGCAAACTTCCACTTTTGTTAGCTTATGCAACGAAGATAATGATCCAAGAGCAAAAAGGGCATATTATAATTACCAGAACTAGATAAACCTGAGCAAAAAGAGAACATTACAATTACGAAAACGAGCCAATGACTCTCTCACATTCCAAAAGCACAAAAAATAGTTGCTTTCAGCAAATAAATTGTGTACTCATCAACAAAGTCTTGATGAAATTGGAAGAGAAAAACAAAAAAAAGAGAAGAAAGAAAGACATTTACCTCCTTTCAAACCACCGTGAACATATATTCTAACACCAACAGATGCAGCTGCATGGCGACATCGACGCATAGACTCCAAAGAGGGATCATCACTTGGTACTTTGTTTACCCGTGAAGTCACGAGCCCATTTCTGTCCAGCCAAACTCCAGCGGCGGTATCCAGCACTTCAAACAAAAAAAAAAAAAAAAAAAAAAAAAGAAAGACAAGGATATTTTTCAATTAAATAAAATCTGAATAATCCGATCAATATGCCAGAAAACAACTCACCACAGTTACCTGCAATTGCAGCATCGCCTTCCACTGCTCGTCCACCTCTAAGGGCACCCCCAGTAACATGCAATCTAGCACCTACAAATACCTGATCAAGGAAAAAATTCAAATTATTAAAAAGGAATTAGCAAGCAGAAAAGGCTCAATTATCAAATAATCCAACTGTCACTATTTTGAATTTATTACTTACCGCAGCATGCTGATACCTTGGGGAAGGTGATACTCCTGGGGCCAGAGTCCATTCCCAAAGATCATTCCGATGCATGAGCAAGCCATAAGCATCTGCCAGTGGCTGTATATGCCCACATACAACCACAGCTCAGTCAAGCACAGTTAATTAAGTAAACGTAAAATTATAAAATCTAAATATTCTACATGATAACGAGCTATTAAGGTAGCAGATCAAACAACCACATCACAAATTTTAATCAATATATGACTGACAGTACGACCTGCAATATGAATGTCTACACGGCACAACCTTAATATAACAGACTTATTTTCTGTTTTAATTTACAAAGCAGTTAGTATTTTTCACTCTGACTTCCAAACGAAGTTTACATAGAAAACAAATTAGGGTATCCACCAGCAAACAGTATTCATTTTTAGAAAGCAACTATCTTTCCTTTTCTGAAGTTTAGTAGCTGGATTGTCAATCCCCAATTGCAGCTTATGAATGAATAGCATACAAAGATACATGAGAAAACAAGCCATACCGTGCCAGATGCATCTCTTCCACCACAAAGCAGAAACATTCCGTCTGACCTGGCACTAGCCGTTGCATACCTACATACATTAACCAAATCCAATCACGATTAAAAAGATTGAATACTAAAATGAAAAATCAAAAGAAGCAGGTCTACTTATAAGTAAGAACTAAAGAACCATCATTTAATAAACAACTCCACAGACCACCTAATGACTTGAGTTCAGATATATAAGTCTACTCACAGAATAGCATGCAAAATTTATTGTAAAACCATCCTTATACTATTTTCCGAGTTTTTGGAAGCAAAATCCAACCAAGAACTCTTTTTTTTGTTTTGGAGTTCAAGAAAGTAAGATATTAAGCCATTGAAGCCTCTTAGAAGTCAATAACACTAAATTCAATTAGATAAAACTTACATTCTAGCAGAAGGTCTATCCCCTTCTGGATTAAGCCGCTGCCACACATACGGTTTCTGTGCAGTGTCCAAAACCCAAGCATCTGATAGCACTCTTTTACCTGTAAAGATCAAAAGATCTCTTTTAGGTTAGTTTCAGCTAAAAAACCAGATGCACTCAATATAATTTTTTTTTAAAACGTAGAGTATCGAACACCATCACTAAGAAATGTATCCAAGTCAAACCAGTATCATAAAATTCATGTGACAGTCAGGTTCTGGAAACATTGTCGGAGATGGTTCCCCAGTGGGAACACTTATCTTTGGATTCTTTAATTCAGTTCAAATTTCACTATCCAAATACTTTTACCCTTCGAAGGATGCAATCATCAACCAAATTTGACCAAGGCACCTCTAAACTTTGTTGACTTTTAGATTGCTCTTCCACTCATCCCACCACCAAGAAGAATCCGAAACTAAATTGACCATGAAAAGGTATTGACTGCAAAACCCTTCGGATAAGTAAATTTTGCATATTAACCAATAGCATTAACTTCCAGAAATGTCCACATTTATAAATGGACATAGCCCAACGTAGAAAGATAAATGGGATTATGTCCATCCTCACAATCTTACATACAGAATCCAATCAGATTTCCACTCTGGTCCAGAAATTAAGTGAATTTGGACAATTTGAAATTCACCGCCGTAATTCCCAATGCCTCCAGCACTTATAAATTGAAGAATCTTATACTTACGTAACAAAATTACACATAAGAGCCCCCCACTACCAATCGAGGACTCAATTGAAGCTTTGCAATAAACAACCAATTATCACTTTTTAGCTATTACAGAAATGAGATTTCGGTGATGCACTAGTTAATTTCTAGTTATTCCGTAAAAGCTCCCATAGCCAATCGAGGACTCAATTTAAGATTGCAATAACAACCAAATAACACCCTTCACTATTGCACAAATGAGATTCCTGTGATGCACTAATAAATTTTTAGTTATTCCGGTGATATCTCCCACTTATAATTAAGCCATATAACTGCCGGTGTATCTTTTACTTTTGAAGGATTACTGAAAAATATTACAGAAAAGGTTGAAACTCACCATCATTGCCACTAACAGTAACAAGATATCGCTGTGCAACCAAATCCATGACATGGCCGTATCTAGGCCCCGGGCCCTGTCCTTGAACTACTACTCTGAACTCCAAAAAGAGTAACAACTAAGTTAAAGATCAACCAAAATTAAGTTTACTGTGATTAAAAAAGTTGTGAGAATTGAGAATATGCAAAACACAGATCTCTGAAAACTCACCGATGCCACTTAAACTTGTCGTTTGTCAGATCGAGCACATACAGGTCGTCTGTTGAATGCCCTGCAGGACCTATGCCACCCTGGCAAAAAACAATTGCCGTCGGTCTATATTTAGATCAAAACATATTCATTTCAGAGATTCGTAAAATGATACGGCCGTTTTAAGTGCTCTAATCACCTGAAACACCACCATGCTGCCAACAGCTGCTGCCGCGTGTGCAGCCCTAGGTGATGGTGGCTCACCCGCTGGTCGAAGTCTAATCAAATCATTAGTAAAAGTAATAAGCAGTTATTCGACATCTTACCAAATTCAAACTAAAAACCAGAAATTCAAGCAAATTTCGGCTGAAACAAATAAATAAAAAACAAAAATTGAAGCAAGTAGAAAAAACCTGGTCCATTTTCTAGTAAGAACATCGTACGAATGAATACAATTCGTCACTCCAGCTAACCCTAGAAAAGGAGAAAGCTAAAAACAATTAAACAACCGAGTTTATAAAAAGCAGAAGAAAAGGAAGGGAGAAGTGGGGGGATTACGAATGCCAGGAGCGCCTCCGCTGCCGCTCTCAATTGCGGTAGCGCCGCCGAACAGAATGAGGCGGGGTCCCTGGGTTTTAGTGGCGGCGACGGCGGTGAGGGTATGACCACAGCGCGGCCCCGGCGCGTCGTCATCAGTGTCCCAGAAGCTTTCCAAATTTCGGTAGGCCGGCGCCGGATATAGCCACGGCTTCGATCCCATCCACAAATTTTACCAAAGCTAATCAGAGCAGTTAATCCAGCCCCAAAAAATGCTGAACCACCGGCGAATTGAAACAAAATCAAACCGAAAAAAGGAAATCCACAAAAACGAAACCCTAGACGGATTAAAGTAGAAGAGGGATCCAAAGCAGCGGCGGTGGGTGCCACCGGAAACTGGACCCTTTACTGGGAGTGGTTGCCAGATAATTTGAATATAAAACACCAACAATTGTTTCTTTTCATGAACCTCTATATATATATATAATTTATATATATATTCTATATGTATGTATATATAATTACTGTTAGTGATATATATTATATATATATATATATATATATATGGAGTGAAGTGAAAAGGTAGAGAGAGATGAAGTTAAGATTCAGAACTAACTGATAATTGGGGCAAACAAAAATAGAAGAAACCCCACTGCTTCAGAGTCAACTATTTTTACACGCTGTTCAATTTTTCCCTTTTCTTTTTTTTTTTTCTTTTTCTTTAATTAATATAATAAACCCTATTTCAAAATTATCAGTCCAACAGTTTTACAAAGGTAACTCCATTAATAGAAAAGGTTGGGAATTTGAATTTTTTTGTAGTGAAATACCAATTTATGATATTTTAGTGCAAATATTTTTCCCCTTTTAGAGGGGTGCATCAGTAATTTCCTAAAAGGGACAACGAATAAAATATGCTCCATATTAATAGGAAAAAATTGGAATGCATAAAACTCCCATGTGCTAACAAAAGTCTCAACAAGTTTTTTGCTACAGAATAAATGTGTTCGACTTAATTTAAGAATATTATTTTGAGTCCTAAACAGTTAAATAAATTTCTTATAAAATTGCCATGTGTTGTAGAATTGAATACATACACCAAATTACGCTTTATTACGAAAAACTTGTATAAACTCTTCTCTATAGGTAACGGGCGTTTGACTATTAATGGAAAAAAAAAAGATTTTAAATACAAAAAAATTATAAGAAAAGTATTTTGCAATAAAAAGAAGGCATGGCCATTTGATGCATATTTTTCTTAACTAAGTGGGGTCATGTTGTTTACCCATGCATATAGTGTGCGCCAAATATTTTTCCTATTAAACCATTGCAATGTTATATTATTATGGGAAAATTAGCAAGACCCCCATCATCTAAGAAATATAGCAAGTAAAATCCTCATTCCAATTAATTAGAGCAAATTCATTCCCCTTTAAACTAATCCTTCTATCAAATCTTAATTGTCTAATATACCCTTAAAGAACACTAATCTCATTTATCATTGCTCTCTTCTTCTTTTCACGCCTCTTCTCTCTCTTATTTTATGATATTTTGTTTCTTTTTTCGATTTCTCACCCAAATCTCTGTTTTTTTTCTCTCTCGATCCGGAGGCGAAGAACAAGAGTTATCGGAGCCGCAAGAACGACGCTCCTTCTCCTTCTCTTGGAGATGGCTTTTTTCATTGAGTATTGCTGGAACGAGTTCGAGGAAGATGATTTTTTCGTCGATTTGTTGCCGAAATTGAATTTTGATGGGTGGTGGTTTCTGCTTTGGTTGGTGGTGCGGTTTGTGATTTACTTGATTTGTAATAAAAATCGTCAGTGGTGTGGCGGCGGTGTGGTTATGACGGGGAGGCATATCTAGGGTTTTTGGGTGGATCGGCGGAGGACGGCACGGGTAGAGAAATTCGTGTAACCCTTAATGGACTACATGTTTTGGTAGTAGATTAAATTAATCGACTATGCTCTGGTAGCCGACTAAAGTGCTACTTGAATGTTTTGGTAGTCAATTAAGTTACTCGACTCATTTTTTAATTCATTTTTGAATTTTTGTGTATTGATTTCGGTTTGTATAAATCAGTTACAATTTATGTATATTATTTGTTTTGTTAAAAAAATGTTGATTTACGTTTTTATGTAATTTCGTTTTTTATTTTTATTTTTGGTAGTCAGTTCCTTAATCGACTATCCTTCATCATAGTCGATTAATATGTTTCATAGTCGATTAATACATCTGATAGAGAAAAAAAAGTTAAAAAAAGAAGAAAAAAAAAACAGCTGATGAGGTAGCCGCATAGTAGATGATAGTACTGATGAATGGCAGTAGTATAATTAGAAAATGACTGGCTGAAATTAGAAGTGAGTTTTTTTTTCAAGTGCAAAATAATTTAGACGTCTCCCTATTTAAAAAAAGTATCGAGGGATTATATCAGAAAACCTTATTCATATTATGAAATATTGATGATATTATCTGGTTAAGTAAGATTGTCTCGACTTTTTGGCATAAATCAACAAATAATTGGGATTATTTTCTTCACTTATTTCTTTTATTATGCAACATAAATATTATTTACATTTATGTTAAAAGAGAATCTTCAAGCTTTTACAATAAAATAAATATTTAACTGAACTATAACAAAATTACTAAAATACCATTATATGTTTTTCAATATTATGATCATAGCTTTTGCCTTAAGCAAGAGATGGCTTTGTTGTTAAGACTAGAATTAATCAGACTATTTAAAAACAAAATAGTAAAAGGAAAGGAAAGCTAGAACAAAACAATGAAATTTTTTGAATGGTCTTCATTAAAATTTTATTGTTTTTTTTTTCTTTGATCATTAGTATTTAAAAAAAAATAATGTAGTCAATTCAACATTCGACTTTTTATAGGACTTTGATAATTGTTTGAATTGTGTAGAGGGTGTTAAGTAATTGTGAGCTTTATTATATTTGAAGTTGATTATTTTTTATCAAATTCTTCGACTTGGAAAAGTAGTGTGACCAGTTGTTTCTCTTTGTTAGAAGTTGACAAGGTCATGTGTTCTTCTTATGTTAATAAGATGAATGAGAACTTTTACACCAAGAATAAGAAACGGTCTTAGAGCAACAAGTACTTGGTCCAAAATATTGCTTTCGTTTGGTTGTTGTGAGACTTTTGAGTTCCATATTTATTATTATTTATTGGTTCTTTTTATATAGATGATTATATATTTGATTTTTTTTTAAATTGTTATTTTACTAACGGCATTATTCATTATTCACACACACAAAAATTATACAGTTTTACATTTCTCGTATAGTTTGTGAGTGATATTGCTAGAATGTCGATTGAGCAGCAAAACAAATGACAAACACTAGGTGACATGTTGATCGGGTCCAGTAATAGTCTTCGAATGCTCAAGTTAGAAAACAGTGCAAAGTATACCCACAAATGCATTTAACTCGTAAAATAGCACGTACCTCGATATGTGAATAAACTCTACTAGTTTATAGGTGAGACTCGAGGTGGAATTCTTATGAGAATTGATATGGCACAAGGGATTTTACTTTTCCCATGGACCTTTTAGAAGGCTTTTGAATAAGGGCCTTTGAGGGGGTTTTCTTTTAATGAGCTAATCGAGCGTCTTGTTCAAAAATCAACAACTAGGCACATCATTGCACATCACTTTCGATTGATGCTCATGTAGCAAGAGTCGGCCGAGAGTAGTTGATATTGTTTCAAAAACTGAACTCTAGTGTGCTTTAAATTTTGCTTTGCGGGCTTAAAAGCTCATAGGAAGTCGACCAGTGTGGTGAGAAGCTAAACATGTGGAGCGGGGTGGCTCGAGTGGGTCGTTCGAGCAAATCCAAGGTGTTGTTGTTTGGAGGCGGGGCACGAGAACATGATGGACCATTGGTCCTGGAGGGTGGTGACCGAAGGAGCGAGATCGAGTTTGCGAATGACTAGGATCTTGACATCAGTGCGAGCGAAGTTATAGTTGTAATACCTACACGCAAGTGCACGTAACAGACAAGTAATATAGTGGACAGTTAAATCCAAGTATCGTTCTTACGAGGAATATTCAATTATCTAATTCTAAGCGCTAGATTATCGCAACTATGTTCAAACTCAGCCCACATAGTCGACTTTTGAGTTGATTTAACTAAATTATGACTAAATTATAGAAAGCAGATTCAAAAGAAAGCAAGAGCAAGTAAGCAACGAAGATTAATAAGATTAAAAAATCCTAGAATTTTATCTTCCCCTTATGTGATTATTGATCCCCAAAATCCCTTCAATTCTACCAGCAAATAATTTGGATTACTAACCTGAGATGCTAAATTAATTATAACCCGCTTCCGCGTGTATTATAATTCTTATTCATGACTAAATCGATGTATTCCTAAGCAATTCAATCTAGAACAAAACATTAAGCACAAGTCTCAATCATGGCTATTGTTACAGGGGTTACTTTCCTCAAGAAATTTTCGCTCGTGCATGCGGCTTGATTCCCACCAAATCAATCAGCCTTCCCCTCGAGTTCTTTTCGCACAAACGCACAAATACAAATTCTTTTAAGCCAACATAAATACGAACAAGAGTATGCAGCGGAAAACAACACACAAGTACGTTTACGGGCACTGCCCAACCTTTATTTTAATTTTCCACAAAGAATACAAAGGAGATTAAGGTCCACAGACAAAATGCTCACTCACAATGCCCACAAATGCAATCTAAACTCTGTAATGCTAGATGGGGCAGATTTGTGCACTCATAGGCAAATAAATACAAGAAAGAAGGTAGTTTACACATTAAACTACCAGGGCTACTTGGCAGCACACATACTTGACACTTGGCTAACTATTACAAGTAATAAGGGGCAATTCCGCATGCTTTCCAGGCCTCAACCGCTCCGCAACTTCCCTCAAAACTGTCCTTATAGTCGGTTGTCGGGGTCTGCCTTGCTCGAGAGCGCGCGCGCGCACCAAACAGCCAAAACAGCTATGTCGGTTGCTAGGCAACTCATCTGCCTTGCCTTGCCCGCAAACTTTGTTTGCCTTGCCAATCACTTGCCAATTCTTTGCCCACACGGTCATTAGCACACCCGCTCATCGGGCTGTCTTCCTTAACTTTGCCAACCTGTCGTGCCAATTTGCCCACACTTATCAAATCGTGGTCGATTTCCTTTGAACGCTCGTTTGCCTAAGTTCTCGGCCGCATGCCGATTACTGCCCACGCTTATCTGCATTGGCTGTCGAGCAACGCCCGTGCCAGCCGCAAGTACTTTCGATCACCGTTCCCACTTGAATCAAGTCATTCCTTGTTTTCTCGGACAAATACCCTAAATGCTTGCCCAACATTGACCACTCATTGGCAGTTGTGCCAACCCTTGCTTGGCATTGTTTCTCGGCCATGACTCGGCGCCACTCGAGCCATAGTCGATGTCACCGACTAAGGGGGTAACAACTATCTAAGAGGGTAACTATAGTCCTATGACAACACAACAAAGGTTC